TTCACACACAGGTCACAAATGACACTACGAACCTACAACCACTTCCAGAATTCTATTCCGAGCTCGATATCAAAATTTTTACTACCGGCCTAAATCGCCAAAATTCCAACTTTCGCCAATTCAAGCCTAAATCCACTGCGGACCTCCAAAACACATTCCAGACGCGCACCTAAGCCCAAAATTACTCAACGGAGCTAACAGAATCGACAAAATTCCATTCCGGAACTGTCTTCACATAGTTCCGACTAAGGTCCAATTTCTAAGACTTAAACTCACATTTAGGGACTAAGTGTTCCAAAACACTCCAAATTTTACAACCAATCACTCTGGCAAGTCCCAATAGCAGAAACAAATATGGGGAAATCAGTTATTATGGGATCGGGGCTCTAACTCTCAATACGACTGGCCGGGTCATTACATTCTCCCCCTCTTAAAATAATCGTTTGTCCTCAAACGTGTATAAAGGCATACCTGAAGCCGTGAAAAGATGAGGGTAACGATTGCGCATAATCTGCTCGGTCTCCCAAGTTGCCTCCTCGACCGGATGACCCCTCCACTGGACCTTTACTGCAACAATATTCTTTGACCTGAGCTTTCTGACCTGCCTGTCCAAAATAGCTATTGGCTCCTCAACATAAGATAGATCCTTGTCCAACTGGACTGGGCTGAAATCCAATACATGAGTCGGATCACCGTGAAACTTCCGGAGCATAAAAATATGGAATACTAGATGAACTCCTGCTAGGCTGGGAGGTAAGGCAAGCTCATAAGAAACTTCCCCAACACGCCGCAATATCTCAAAAGGACCAATGAACCTAGGGCTCAGCTTGCCCTTCTTCCCGAATCTCATGACGCCCTTCACAGGCGATACCCGAAGCAAGACCCACTCTCCAACCATAAATGCCAAATCACGAACCTTCCGGTCCGCTTAACTCTTTTACCTGGACTGGGCTGTTCGAAGTCTATCCTGAATCACCTTCACCTTATCCAGGGCATCTTGGACCAAATCTGTACCCAACAATCGGGCCTCACCCGACTCAAACCAACCTACTGGGGACCGCTACTGCCTACCGTACAAAGCCTCATATGGTGCCATCTGAATGCTGGACTGATAACTGTTATTGTAGGCAAACTCTGCAAGTGGAAAGAACTGGTCCCATGACCCTCCGAACTTCATCACGTAAGCACGGAGCATATCCCCAAGAATTTGAATCGTGCGCTCGGACTGCCTGTCCGTCTGAGGGTGAAAGGTTGTGCTCAGCTCCACCCTAGTACCCAACTCCTGTTGTACGACTCTCCAGAACCGTGACGTGAACTATGTACCTCTGTCTGAAATGATGGATACCGGGATAACGTGAAGGCGAACGATCTCTCTAATATAAATCTCTACCAATCTCTTTGAAGAATAAGTGGTCAACACTGGAATAAAATGAGCTGACTTGGTCAGCCGATCCACGATCACCCAAATAGTATCGAACTTTCTCAAAGTCCGTGGAAGTCCAACTACAAAGTCCATGGTGATCCGCTCCCACGTCCACTCTGGGATCTCTAACCTCTGAAGCAAGCCACCCGGTCTCTGATGCTCATATTTAACCTGTTGACAGCTGAGACAGTTGGCCACAAACCCAACTACCAACTATATATTTCTTCATCCTCCTCCACCAATAGTGTTGTCTCAAATCCTGGTACATCTTCGCAGCACCCGGGTGGATAGAATAACGCGAGCTGTGGGCCTCCTCAAGAATCAACTCCCGAAGCCCATCCACTTTGGGCACACATATTTGGCCCTGCATCCTCATCACGCCATCATCACCAATAGTCACATCTCTAGCATCACCTCGCCGGATGCTGTCTTGAAGGACTAGAAGATGGGGATCATCATACTGGTGCTTCCTGATACGGTCATAAAGAGAAGACCGAGCGACCACACAAGCCAATACTCGACTCGGCTCTGAAATATCCAATCTCACGAACTGGATGACTAAGGCCTACACATCCAATGCTAAGAGTCTCTCAGCTGCCAGAAGATATGCCAAACTCCCCAAACTCTCTGCCCGGCGACACAAGGCATCGGCCACTACATTGGCCTTCCCCGAGTGGTATAATATAGTGATATCATAGTCTTTAAGTAGATCCAACCACCTCCACTGACGCAAGTTAAGATCCTTTTTCTTGAACAGGTGCTGCAAACTCCGATGATCAGTGTAGATCTCACAAGGAACACCGTACAAATAGTGACGCCAGATCTTTAAGGCATGAACAATAGCTGCTAACTCGAGATCATGGACAGGATAATTCTTCTCATGCACCTTTAACTGTCTAGACGCATAGGCAATCACCCTACCGTCTTGCATCAATACTGCTCCAAGGCCAATCCTGAGGGCATCACAATAGATAGTGTAAGACCCCAAACCTATAGGCAATACTAATACTGGGGATGTAGAAAAAGCTGTCTTGAGCTTCTGAAAGCTCTCCTCACACTCCTCGGTCCACCTGAACGGAGCACCCTTCTGGGTCAGCCTGGTCATAGGTGCTGCAATAGATAAAAACTCCTCAACAAAGTGACGGTAGTACCCCGCCAACCAAGGAAACTGTGAATCTCCGTAGCTGATGATGGTCTAGGCCAACTCTGCATTGCCTCAACCTTCTTCGGATCTACCTTGATCATATCACAAGACACTACGTGGCCTAAGAATGCCACTGAATCAAGCCAGAATTCACACTTAGAAAATTTTGCATACAATCTCTTCTCCCTCAAAGTCTGGAGCATGGTCCTCAGATGCTGCTCATTAACTTCCCGAGACTGGGAATATACCAGGATGTCATCAATAAACACAATGACGAAAGAGTCAAGATAAGGCCGGAACACACTGTGCATCATATGCATGAAGGCTACTGGGGCATTGGTCAGCCCAAATGACATGACAAGAAACTCATAATGACCATATCTGGTCCTGAAAGCAGTCTTCAGGATATCAAGCTCCCAAATTTTTAACTGATGATAGCCAGAACGCAAGCCAATCTTGGAAAATACCCTAGCACCCTATAACTGATCAAATAAATCATCGATGCGAGGCAATGGATACCTGTTATTCATTGTAACCTTGTTCAACTGCCGATAATCAATACACATACGTGTAGAACCATCCTTTTTCTTCAAAAATAAAACCGGAGCACCCCAAGGTGATACACTAGGCCTGATGAAACCCTTATCAAGCAACTCCTTCAACTGCTCCTTCAACTCCTTCAACTCAGGAGGAGTCATACGGTAGGGAGGAATAGATATAGGCTGAGTGCCCGGCAACAAGTCAATGCCAAAATCAATATCTCTATTGGGCGGCATGCCCGAAAGATCAGCTGGAAACACATCAAGGAAGTCCCTCATAACTGGAACTGACTCAACTGTAGGGGTATCAATACTGACATCTCTCACATAGGCCAAATATGCATCACACCCCTTCTTAACCATTCACTGGGCCTTAAGAAATGAAATGACCCTGTGAGGAGTAGACTCTAAGGTACCTCCCCACTCTAATTATGGTAAGCCTGGCATAGCCAACGTCACAGTCTTAGCGTGACAATCAAGAATAGAATAATGGGGCGACAACCAGTTCATGCCAAGATAACACCAAAATCTACTATACTGAGTAATTACAAATAGTCTCTGGTCTCAAAACCAATAAGAGCAATCAAACATGACTAATATACACGATCCACAACAAGAGAATCTCCCATAGGAGTAAATACACAAACAGGGGAACTCAAAGAATCCCGAGATACCCCCAAATGAGGAGCAAAATAAGAAGACACAATACCTGGCCTGGCCTCCCTCTCTAGGGTGACCTCGACCTCCCCGACCTCTGCCTCGAGCTGCCTGAGAAGGGGGAGTAGCAGCTGGGACTGGAAGAATGGCCGGAGGACCCGGTGGAGCACGTGGAGGGTGATAATTCTATGGAGGTGCACCCCTCCTGGCTCTGGGGAAATTTCTAACCATGTGACGAGTGTCACCACACTCAAAACAACCCCTCAGAGGATGCGGCAGCTGAGACTGACTCAGACCTGGCCTGCTGGACTGGCCGGTAATAGCACCTCGAGCAGGAGGCATACTGGATACTGGCAGTGCATAATAGGGCTCCTGAGGTCTATGAGGAGCTGGAACACCGCTGGCTGCTAGAAGAGCTGAATGAACAGGGCGACTCACAAAACCCCTACCATGGCGTGCTGCTGGTGCACAAGCTCCTGAATAATGACCAGTCTCTCAAGACCTCTTGGCCTCTCTCTCCTCTCTGTCCCGGGAAAACATGCCCTCCACTTTTCTGGCAATACTCACTGCCTGCTGATAAGTAATATCAATCTCCAACTCCCTAGCCATACTGGTCCAAATACTGGGGTGGAGTTCCTCAATGAAGCGACGAACCCTCTCTCTGACTGTAGAAACCAAAGCCGGTGCATGTCGAGCTAACTCACTGAAACGGACTACATACTTCGACACAGTCATGGCACCCTAGCGCAACTGCTCAAACTCTGCGCACCAAGCATCCCTGAGGCTCTGAGGGACATACTCATGCAAGAACATCTCTGAAAACTGAGTCCAAGTGAGTGAGGCTTCCTCGTCCGGACTACTCAGCTCATAGGCACGCCACCACTAATATGACGCTCCCTTCAGCTAGAAAGCGGTGAAGGAAACTCCACTCGCCTCCACGATGCCCATAGTGCGGAGAATAGCATCATCTGAAGCTAGTCCTCTGAAAGTAGGTGGGTGGTATTTCTTGAACCTCTCAAGTCTGAGCTGCTCTGCCTCAGAAGTAGCTACCCTGGTCTCGTGCTCAACCGGAGCCACTGGGAGCTTAGGAATAAACCCTGGGCCTGATCAACCTGGACCCTCTGCTCAGGAGTGCTGGATGCGGGAGTCTGCGCCCCTCCCCCAGCCTGAGATATAGCGGGAGCTATCGGAAGTAATCCAGCCTGAGCTAGAGTGCTAAACATGCTCATGAACTGAGTCAAAATCTCCCGGAAGGTTGGAGTAGCAATAGGAATCTCCGGTGCAGGCCCTCCAGCTGGAGCTGTTGGGGGCTCCTATGTCGCAGCTCTTGCAGGTGCTCGGGCTGCACCACGTGGTCATCCTCTACCCCGACCCCTGCCTCTACCGGCTCTGGCAGGGGGCTCGGGTACTTGATCGTCGTCCTCCCGGTACGGGTCCTCACCATCTGTGAGAAAGAATAGAATAGAAATTATTTTAGAATTTTTTATATCAATAACTCACACGACAAGGAAATAAAAGACGTATGATTGTTCTTGACAGTAACATAGCCTCCCGAAGATAGGTACTGACGTCTTTGCACCGATCTGCGAGACTCTAGAAAAATCGGCTTGTGACTCGCGGCTCCTATGAACCTAGTTCTTTGATATAAACTTGTCACGACCCAATTTAACCCTCCTAAAGGTGTCGTGACGGCACCTAGTCTTTACGACTATGTAAGCCTATTATTGCAAAAAAATTGAAAGAAACACAACGATAAAAGATAAACAGTATAATTTAAATAAAAAGGATAATGCCACTCAGCATATACAGTAATAATCTCCCAAAACCCGAAATGTCGCTAATCACAAGCTTCTATTAGTCTATATAGCTCTATACAAAGGACTGAATGAAACAAAAGAAAATCTCTACGCGGGGGAATAGAAGGGGACTCCGAGGATCTACGGACGCGAGCAGAAGTACCTTGAAATCTCCTGAATCAGCAAGCACGCACTAAATCTGAGGCTGAAAGCTCGTACCTGGATCTGCACACGAAAAGCATGTGCAGGAAAGGGCATGAGTACACCACAATGGTACCCAGTAAGTGCCAAGCGTAACCTCGGTCGAGTAGTGACGAGGTTAGGTGAGGGCCCTACCGGAGTAAATATAATGAATTAAGCAGTAAAAGATATAGATAAATTTTATGGTAAAAAAATTAAAGAAATTCACAAAAATATAATAGTTAAGGGAGCCCTCGACTCAGAACAAGGAAACACAATATGGAATCTCCTGGGAAATCGTCCCGTAGTTCCGAAATGATTATGCAGTACAGGGGGATCTTCCGGAATACGTCCATAGTCCCAAAATAAATATGTAGTGCTGGGGGATCTCCCGAAATACGTCCGTAGTCCCAAAGTAAATATGCCAGACATGGAGATCTCCCGGAATACGTCCGTAGTCCCAAAGTAAATATGCATCTCAAGATGACATGACAGTTACAACATCGAATAATATAGTTTAGACTAAACACAATCAAGGAAAATAGGAATCTACCTAAACATGCTGCACAGAAATTCAAATAGACAGTCAAAATACGTAGGCATGCTTTCCTAATCTAACCCAAGTAATTAAACATAGTAGTGTAGTTCAAACAAAGGAAAACAATTTATGATTTAGAAGAAAAAAAAATGGAATTTTTACAACAATAGTCTGTGTACGTGCTCGTCACCTCACGTACACGACGCTCATACATCAAACAATACCAAACATCCTAAGGGGAAGTTCCTCCACACAAGGTTAGGCAAGCCACTTACCTCAAACCGTTCAAATCAATCCGAAACCGCTCACTTTCCACGAGTATCCAACTTCGAATGGCCCAAATCTAATCAAATTAATTACATAATGTAAAAATAACTACAAGTAGCTATTTAAGCTAAAGAATTCAAAGCTAAGGCAAGGAGTTAGGAAAAACGCCCAAAAAGTCTCTCCGGACCCACGACTCGGAATCGGGTAAAAGTTACCAATTTAGAACACCCATTCACTCACGAGATCACACGTACAAAAATTATCTAATTACGACGCCTAAAATCTGATCAAAACTCAGAAATTCGATTGGGAAACTTTTCTCCCAAATCCCCACTTTCTCACTCAAATTCCTCGATTAAATGAATAAAACTACAATAGATTGATGAAATATGAACGCAGTAGGGTTAGAAATCGTTACCCAATGACTTCCTCTTCAAAACCCTCGAAAATCACCTTCTCCCGAGCTCAAAATCGAATTTGGGTGAAATGAGCAATTGCCCTCGATTCTGCCCTCTTTAGCCTAGTGTTTTCCGCATCTGCGGACCCAGGACCGCACCTTCGGTCCCGCACCCGCGGACAAACCATCGTAGGTGCAAAATCCACTTAACTGGGCTGGGACCGCTTCTACGAGTGCTGGGCCGTACCTGCGAGCCCACTCCTGCGGTCCATCTACCGCACCTGCGACCTCAGAAGACTAGGCCCATCTCCGCATCTGCGCCTCTCCTTCCGCATGTGCGAGTCTGCACCTGCGACCTCCCCTCCGCATGTGCGAAACACCAGAACGAGCAAAACTCAGTAATTTCCTAAGTCTAACTTTCAATCCGTTGAGTATCCGAAACACACCTGAGGCCCCCTAGACCTCAACCACACATACCAACCAATCTTATTGTCCATACGAACTTAGTCGAGCATTCAAACCACATCCAACAACATCAAAAACATGAATTACACACGGATTCAATCCTAAGTAACTTCGAATTTTTCAAATTCTACAAACGACGCCGAAACATATCAAACCTAGTCCAAATGACTTTAAATTTCACACACATGTCACAAAAGACACTACAAACCTACAGCCACTTCCGAAATTCCATTCCGAGCTCGATATCAAAATTTTCACTACCGGTCGAAATCGCCAAAATTCTAACTTTCGCCAATTCAAGCCTAAATCCACTATGGACCTCCAAAACATATTCCGGACACGCTCCTAAGTCCAAAATCACTCAGCTGAGCTAACGGAATCGACGAAATTCCATTCCGGAACCGTCTTCCACACATATCCAACTACATTCCAATTTTTAAGACTTAAGCTCACATTTAGGGACTAAGTGTCCCAAAACACTCCGAATTTCACAACCGATCACTCCGGAATATCCCAATTGCAGAAACAAATGTGGGAAAAGTAGTTATTAGGGGATCGAGACTCTAACTCGTAATACGACCAGCCGGGTCTTTACACCCTACTAGAGAAAAATGTTCCTACCATTTTACTAGTTCTAGATCTTATTTAAGTCTCTATTAATGTTCTTAATGATCTATTTCTTTGTCATAACACTACAGACGCAAGAAAACAAATTAAGGATAGCCACAAAAATAAAGGGGGAGGGGAGTCTGTATTCGATATCTGCATGAGTCTGTTCAATCTGGATTCGTGTTGCAAATGACTTATGGGCGTTAAGGGGGCCGAGCCGGGATAGAGGAAAAGGAAACCAACCGGTCTCGATACCGATTACAAATTACCGATCTTATCGGTACCGGAATTAGCCGATGGAAAATTGAACCGGAAGGATACCGGACCTAATGGGCTAGGCTGGTCTTATTTAATTTGTTTTTTTTGTATTTTGTATAACAATCTTTATTTATATTAAGATAAATTAAAAAATATAAAATACTAAAAACTAACTTATAAAAAGAATGTTTGAATAAATCTCAAAGGCTTTAAAAGCCTTATATTTATATATTTCATTAAGAATTTAAGATAATATAATGAACATGAAAAAAAATTTAACTTATAATTTGCAAGTTCTTTTTTTAATTTAATCTTGCAAATTAAAGTTTACATTTTACAACAACTAAATTAAAGAAAAAAGAGTAAATTCAAATTTGAATTATTAAATATAATCTTCAAACTTCAAAGATTTTGCATTGTCGTAGTAAGTTCTTCATAATAAATATGAACTTTATGGCCATCTTCTGGAGTGTTGAATTCAGATGGATTACCATTTGTTAGTATATTTTCAAGTTTCTAGTCTTCTGGTGTATCAACATCTTCACGTCCTTGATTTTTTCATTCCGATCTAATCCAATCTCTGAAATATGCTAAAACTTCTAAAGCATTGCTTCCCCATGAGTGATGGGTGTCGCCTAGCTATTGTCTTGCTTGACAAAATGCGCTTTCTGAAGTAACAGTTGAAATTGGCACATTTAGCACATCCCAAGCCATTGCCGAAAGAACGAGAAATTATTTTTCATTTTCATGCCACCATGCCAACGGAAAAAATTCCTTTGTGCGAGGCTCCATTTTTTTTTGCAAGTAGAATTGAAGTTCATCAATGTTTCTGATACGGGTTGAGTGGAAGAAAATGTAGACCAAATATTAAAACCATCAAGGCCTTCATCTTCATCTATAGTAGAAGATTTTGAAGTAGAAGTAGTACAATGAAAAGTGGGATTAACATGCCTTACATTATTAGTAGCATTATCAATTAAATTTGCGTAATAATTATATAATTGTTGTAACGAATCATTTAGCTTGTTCATACAACAATATATATCTGGGTTTCAATTGGTCCAATCTCCATATAAGTACATAAATCATTGATTAATTGGTGATAATTAGACATCTTAATAGAAGAATTTAAAACATCACCAATTAAGTAAATAGGAAGAACTATAAATAAATATTTCTTGAATTTTGCTTGCATTTTTTCAACAGCATCCTTATATTTTTGTTTCTTCTTGAAATAGAGAGTAGAAGAGAAATTTCAGCTATATATACTAAAACGATAGTAATAATAGGGTAATAAGCTCCTAAAAACTCAACAGTAGCTATATAAAATTTATGTAAAAATTTAACATCATTAATGGCCTCCTAAGTATTAATTGTTAACATATGGTTTGGATCAGTACAATGCGTATTAACAACTTCAGTTATAGGCAATTTATATTTGTAGCAACATCTTAAAAATAAGTATGTACAATTCTACCTAGTAACAATTTCACCTGGCATGAAACTAGGGTTAAGGTTATGTTCGTACACTTAGCCTTAAAATCCCTAATTCTAGATTGTATGTTATCTCCTTGAATAACACCAAGTGCTTTTCTAACATGAGTAATCTCAGTCGAAAATAAATCAAGGTCACTTGCAACAATTAAATTATAAATATGACATGCACACCTAATATGAAAGATATCGTCAAGTGGTGGTTGCAAATATAGTTTTAATAGTGAAATGTTGATACCCAATTTTGCCCTCATATTTTTTCAAATAAGTGTATATACTTTCAAAACATCATTTTGCATCATTATTAAATTTACAAGATTTATGCAAGCATTTTCTATAATTTTTCATAATTTAAAGCTTTAGAATTGATTTTCTTGAATTTAAATTGCTTGAATATTTATCAATTACTCCAAATTATCTTGTGATGACTTAATTACCTA